TAATTCCAAGGTGTGCCAGACTTTCTTCACTAACTTTACGTCTGTAAGTTGAAGAATTATTAGTATTAATCGATTGACCCAGTTGATAATGCAGTGCAATAGGATAGTGATCAGTTATGTCCGAAAGAATTATATAGGAATCTGGATGCGGAATGACATTAGAAAAAATATTGTCAATTAAAGTAGCAGATGTATTTGTAACACGCGTTGGCTTAGATACAAGTGGTAAGCAAGAGGCGGATAAAATTAATTCCAGAAATTCTTGAGAAGCCGTTATGTTCATGGTTCAATAAGTCTATATTAAAATCTCCCATCAAGAAGAAGTCTTTATTGTCAAAGTTGACATTTCTTAACAAATTTGACAAATATTGTAAAAATTCTAGAGTATTTGAGCTAGGACACCTATAAATAACACCGGCGATGATATTCTTATTACCAGGAATCACAATTTCAATAAAAAGGGATTCAACAATAGCATTACAAACTGAGATTTCATTCAAAATAGTGTATTTAAGTGATTTACGAATGTAGAGTGCAACTCCACCACCAACTCTGTTTTGTCTATTTTTATTAATGAATTCATAATCATTGATATGAAATGGGTGGTTTGAATCGTAATTTAACCAAGTTTTTGTGAGGCCAATCAGGGAAAGTGGGTTTGACATGGGTTTATCTATTAGTGAAAGAAGGTCATCGAAGTGCTTATTCAAACTTCTGATATTTAAATGAAGTAGGGAAAATGAATTATTTTGAAAATCTTTCGAAACATTACAAAATTGATTGATGGTTATGTAGTTAGTAATTCCACGTTGGGCAGGGTCATCAAAATCGAAATCGAACTCTAAATTTGCAGATGAAACGTTAGTGTTATCCCATATAAAATTATCATACGAATTAACAGAAGTATGCGACGCATCGTCAGATTGAGAAGGTCGATGTAAATCAAAGAAATCGTCATCACCAAGCATTTGAAAAGGCATCGATTGCCTATTATCGAAATTAGACATCATCATGGGTTTAGAAATACTCTCTCTTTGTTGACATTAGGCAATCCGAAGTAATACTGTTGAGAGAAAATAAAGGCGTTATCAACGTGAACAAGGAGACATAATAGAGGAGTAAGGAAATAGTCTGAATCCTAGTCTGAATTCAGTTTCTCCCCCCCCCCCCCCGAAGCGCGGAAGCTTTGCCGTTTCATTAAATTATTAGAGAAAGAAGACGATTCGTTGTACCGTTCACTACTGTTAATCTTGTCTGAATTCAATTCCCCACTGGGCTCCTTTACGGTACATGTGCAGTGTTACATGATGTAAGTATGGAACGCCTGGCAGTGCTTGCCACAGTTGCGTCTGGAAAGCATTTTTTTTTTACTAGTGTTACTGTTAGTGGCCACGGCCCCTTAGTGACTATAAAAAAACATTTGCTCTTCCTGGCCATTTGGGAATGTGTCAGTTTGCAACAGAAATGGAGAAACGCGCACTTTGTTGAAAATCATGTGATTTCACGAACATATTTTATTCATCACTTGTATATGGAATTGAAAGTAAGTCATGATTCAATTTTATTTGGGGGGGGGGGTGGCTGGCGCCCCCCAGGCCCCCCCCCCCCCACCAGTACGCCAGTGAGTGTAAGTAATCTAATATCTGGTGTTGTACAACTCGTTCAAACATTTTAGACACACAGGGCAATATCGAAATTGGCCTGAAATTACCAGGGGAGGATTTATCACCATTCTTTTGTATAGGCACAATCTTAACCGTTTTCCAAGGATTCGGGAATTTTTCCAGTTTTCATTGATTTGTTGAATAAGTAAGTAAGGGTGGGTCAATTGCAATAGCGCTTAATTTCAAGATAAATACTACTATTCCATCAAGACCAGTCGATTTTTTGTTTTTTCAATTTTTTGATTAAGTTCAGCGTGTCAGTTTCAGTTATGGACATAAAGCTAAAAGTGCTATCCAGGGTTGAGTTATTTTTATGTGAAAAGTGAACTGGTGGAATTTGTTCGGCTAAAGTTGTGCCAATACTTACAACGTACGAGTTAAAATCTTCCGCTACTTTAACACTTTCATTCGTATCACCAATTGTAGAATCACATTTTTTAACAGAAATCACTGATTTTAAAATTGTCCATGTTTTTCTGGGATCAGTATTCACATTTGTAAATTTATTAGTAAAATATTTGCATTTCGCCTTTCGAATGTCGAATGTAACTTTATTACGAAGCTTTCTATATTGTGACATCATATCACCACTCTTAGTCCTGAAAGCTGTATGCTTAATTTTGTCTCGATCTTTCATCAAAGGAGTATTACGTTGTTTTTATCTTTTCGTTCGGATAGGCATATGTTTCAATTACATCGATTAAAAGTTTTTCCCATTTTCTAACAGCATCATCAATATTTTCGATGTCTTTAATCATTTCCCAAGGTTGATTTTTAAGGTCTGATTTAAATTTGCCGATATCAAAGTCTTTGCAATTTCTAAATTGAACTGTACGTGAGATTGAAGTCGATTCGGATTTAAGAACCAGAAAGCTGATGGAATGATAACTTAATCCATTATAAATGACATCATGTGATTTACCTCTATGTGAACAATAATTTGCTTAACATGTGGTCTACTAGAGTTGGACTGGTTAGTTACTTTCGTTGGTTCAGTCGTATTTATCTGCTCAAAAGCAAAGATATTGTTAATATCACCGTACATTCTGGTATGCGAGGAAGTATACCTGCAATAATATATCACAATTTACATCACCAACCAATATGCTATCTTTCTTCAAACTATCAATATATATACGCCTTGAGTACATAAATAGTAGAACTCGGTGGTCTATACCATGAAGTAAGAGCGGTTTACAAATCTTTGAATGGACAACAACAGCCACGATTTCTAAATCGTTGAGAGACATCTCCACTTTTAAGGATTTATAAACATAGAGGGCGACACCACCACCTTGACGATTCCGGTCTTTTCGAATCGTGACATAATTTTCGATTGCTATCTCGTAGTCACTTACAGAGTTGTTAATCTTGGTCTCATTCATAGACTAACATGGACTTTAATTCATCTGAATGTCTAATGAGGCTGTTTACATTCAGTTGACATATCTCTAAACCCCTGTAATTAAGTTTTTCATATTTTAGATTACTCTGAATTATATCACTTGGTAAATTATTGAACTCCGGATTGATCGTGGTTGTTAATGGTTCAAAAGGAAGTTGTTCCACATTAGAAAAAGGCAGCTCTTGAAATAAACATTTTGGACAACGCCAATTCTCAAAGGAGGTTGATAAGTTATCGTAAACTTGAGGGGTTATTCCAACACAGCTAATGTGCAACCAGTCTGTACATACACTACAACGGAGACCTTCAATTTGATTCTTTTTGACGTTTTTTTTTTTTTTTTTTTACAGCAGACACATATACTTAACACATTGACAAAGGACATCGTTATAAAAACAGTATGAGAAAAACAACAACAACAACAAAAAAGTCTTAATTCAAAATGAGTTAAAGTTAAAAAAAAGAAAGAAGCAGAAAGTTTGATACTTGTAAGTTGTAACCTCTTCCCATTACCTTGCATTTCATCAGTTGGTGACAGGCACGTAAGCTGGGGGGGGGGGGGGGGGTAGGGGGTTGAACCCCCCTCAAATTTGTTTTATGTGTGTGATTTGGAAGAACCCCCCCCCCCTCACGTTTTTTGGGGCTAATGGGTGACCAAAAAAGGTGACCTTACTCCCCCCCCCCCCCCCCCCCCGAAACGAAACGAAATATCGATCGGCCAAATTTTCAATTTTCGGGACCAAAAAAAATATGCTCTGAATTATCCTGCAGACCCCTCAAGATGTTTTTTTAAAGAAATATTTTGTTTATTTTTTGGGGGACCGTTATATTTCGTATTTTCGTTGTTGTTATAATTTGTATACTGGTGAATACGAGGTTTTTTTTTTACAGGTTCAGCGCATTGACATCAGTCCTGGCAAAACATTAGGAAGAAACAAAACCCTGTTTCATAAAAACTATTATCAGTAACAAATGTTGGAATTCGATGAGGAATTCACTCACAACCCATCAAATGTAGTTACTGCATTATTTTGATGGGCTGTGAGTGAATACATAGGCACCGGAAGTGGGGTGACATGGGGGCAGCTCTTATTACCAATCGTGTGAAGGAATATGTTTCGACTAATACGTGATGATACAAATTTTGCCGGGAAACTGCTTACTAATTGATATATTTGGTAAATTTGTATATCTATCCGGATTGGATAGATATATCGTAGTCCTATATACATCTTTCTGTGCAGTGCTTGTAACTTCACAAAGACTGGGCCAATTTTCTTATCATTTTGATGATTCCATAACCTTGCAGTACACACCAATAGATGATCAACCCTTTCTGATCGATTCCACAACGTTTCTTTCACAATGCAATCGCATGACCAGAACTGGTCTATTCCTTTAACGAACGTGGGTTTAATGAGATGACACTATTTGAAATGTTCTTGATTAATTCATAAAGAGGGCGGTTTTAGAATGTATCCTTATGATTTATGATTCCTCTGAATTTACCAAAAACACGGTCGGCTATATGGCTTCCAAAACGGGCAATTGGATGTGTGACGCTTTTCATGTCCTTCGTCCGCAAATAACGTTTTTTGTAATGTTGGTTTTCACGTAACCCAGTTAATGATTGGGTGACATCCAAGGCTGTATACAACTCACATTTTTTCATTCAAACATCTAAATATATTTCAACAAATATTTAATAATATATGAAATATATTTGGATTTCACCCCCACCTTTAAAGGGACAACAACCTCATTCACATTGAGTAATAATGCTCATGGTTCAGTTCGTAAGGTTTCTTTACCCTAAGACCACCCCGCCCCCCCCCCCTAGATAATTACACCTCGATGTCGCCTCTATAACGCCCCCACAATGGATTGAATAAGATCTGCCCTGTTTTGACACAGCGCTGTGAAAAGCGCATCCGATCATACCAATAGGGAAGTTGGAAAGACTAAAAAAATAGTAAACAAGACATGTGCAGTTTCCTGAAGCAATAGCAAGCTATAGCTCTACTATTCGTGCAAACAACCTGTTGAGTTAAAGTCACGAAAACATACAGGTCCATTGGCATTGCATACAGAGCACCCGACATCGGTTTGGTAGCCCTGACAGCTTCAAGACATCGGATATCGTCATGGATTTGACTTGGGTGTTCGACGTCAGAGTCGTTCTCCTCTCCGTCTTCGCCGTTCTATTGACGTCCTACCTGATCAGGAGGCTCAACGAGAAGACGAGGAAGTTGCCGCCGGGCCCACCGGCATGGCCTTTGTTGGGGAGCATCCCTTTTATTGTCAGGTAGGAACAATGCCTTATTTACATGACCCGTCGTAAAGTTAAGCTGTCGGGTTAATTTTTATGTCGACTAGAAAATTATCTAACCCAATCATCTAACTAAAAGTTGGATTAGACGTAGAAACTCATGACACTCAATTTTGAGAACAATTATTAGAAAGAGAGAGACATACAGAGAGACAGACAGACATACACAGAGAAAGATAAAGAGAGAGGAAAAGAGACAGGTGGACAGAGTGAGAGACAGATAGACAGAGTGAGAAAGAGAAAGAGAGAGAGAGAGAGAGAGGAAAGAGAAAGAAAAAAAAAAGCAGCTGAACTTTACCCGTAGTAAAAGTTCACAAAATGTCCTACTTTGTGTACTTAAGAGAGAGAGGCAGAAACAGAGACGGACGGAAAAAATAGAGGCAGTGAGAAATAGCTAGAGAGAGAGAGAGAGAGAGAGAAAGAAAGAGAAAGAAAGAGAGATAGAAAGAGAGAGAGAGAGAGAGAGAGAGAGAGAAGGAGGCGGCGGGGTGGGTAAAGTAAAACGTGAAATAATAACAGACGTCACGATCACACTCTTCATTGTCCTAATTTCTATAGAATCAATGGCTTTATCAAGGACCGTGGTAATTCATTGTTCACCCAAAAGTTAACATGCATGCAACGCCTCAATTCCAAATAGGAAAATAAAATGATCAAGTCTGGAAAATTCACCAATACAGAACGAAATACATTAGGCGTGTATTCAATAACTAATGTTGTTTCGAGAAATTTATTGCAAACAGACTGAGGGGGGAGGTGGAATCTTCCGAAGCGGAGGATTCAATGTGACGATTTTGTCTTCTTCTTCTGAACTAAAAAAAAACACACAAGGAGGGGGAGGGGGAGGCTACGCCTTCTCGATCCAGTTTCGTGGTTCGTGACTCAGTCAGGTTCGTCACTCAGTTTCGAACCTGCGTCCTCGGATGAAACAGTTTGCTTAGAAACATCGTAAGATTGTGGAAATATTTTGCTTCAAAGTAAAAGACACATGATACTATTTTCATTTTTCATCACTAGGATAAACCTGTAGATTACACGTCTTGAAAAACGCAGGTTGATTGTTTGTTTTTGTTAATTTCATTAATAAAGTGTTGTTTTAAGATGTAACTATACAGACAACGAATGAAATTTGTGTTTTTCTTTGTGTGTTAAATTCAAAACCAACCCCTATACAAAGAGAACTAGCTCCTATCGCCAGACATAGCAAAGTACAATGCTTGGATCTGACAAGTTGAGTCACGTCTTTCGGATGGTGACGTTTAAAGGTCGGTCCCCAGACGTAATTAATCATATCTGATTGATACACGTCTGTATAAACCCAATACACACTCACACACACATCATAATTATTAAAAACTGATGCGTTATCATACAATGATTCTGCTCAATTACAATCATGTTCTATTTGTGTAAACTTGAAATCAGTAACTTTCTGCATGAAATGTAACCATATTTTTTACGATTGTAAACTACGTAACATGTAGTACACAATAATGTATTTCAGAAGAAAAATACAGTAGGGCGCCCATGCACATAATCACATGTATAACTGTATGTTGCTATGTCGGATGATTAGGCCTCATACAAATCTCTAAGCATATGGTTATAAGACACCATTGCAGTATATACATTTATAAGCTATTGATTATGTTCGTAAACTGGTCTACTACCTTTAAAATTAATCGATTCGCAGTTTCGCACTAACAATTAAAATGACAGATCGAAAGTAAAGATCTATAATTAACATGGTTAAATTAAATTGTAAAGTATTAAGTACTTGTGAAACTGATGGTAAATCCCGCGTTATCAAAGGTTACCAACGATCGTTATTGAAATAATTCAGAATTATGAATATTATGTGCGATATCAAATTTCTCAATGTAAGGTACCTGATTGATTCTATTGATATTTTCTGTAAACATATATTGTTGTCAATCATTTTAAATTGAAATTTAACAATATGACCAGAAATGTTACCAGAATTGGGACCTGTGCATGTGACAACTTTACAGCAGTTACATTGCCCTTATATAAATCTTTAAGTAAAGAAATAAACAGAGTTGACAAAAGACTCCGTTTCGTTGACGATCAGCCATGCACAAAAAGACGAAAGACTTCATGCATGGCTGATCGTCAACGAAACAGAGTTAAGTCTTTTATCAACTCTGTTTGTTGCTTCATCAGGCAGCCAGTGAAAACGAATTCGTTTAATCAAATTATGGAAATGCAAGCATTACTTTAAACAAACAAAACTTTGTTATTTCTTGCTCATTTTTCCTGACTGAGGTGTCATATGAAAGGGCAGAAAATGAACTTTCTAGAAATGTGATTTTCTCTTTGAAATTCAGATACCGTCCGCCAAATGACATTTTGGTTTCTTTTAAAATTGTTCGTAATCACTCAAGCGTGAAATATGCATCATTTGAGTTGGGCTACATCAAATGACAGATGAGGATCTATTAAGCTTTAAATATATGTGTCATTTATTAATTATAATTGTGATTAAGATATAATAAAACATCGATATTTCTCGGTTTCGTTTTTTCTGGGACGCACTGTATATCCCTTCATCTTGTTTTCTGTATTCCGCAGGCTTAACACGCATTTGTCCATTTTAGTTTTTATTTACCCCCCCCCCCCCCAATCGTTTTCCCTTTAGGGATGTTGGGGGTGATAACCCTAATACATTTTCTTTTCCGGTATCACGTATATGTGACACACAGACTCAATCACACGTTGCCCCACCAAGCAGTATGCCTGTAGTGACCAATGTTCATGTATATAAATAGAGCATGAATTACGTTTTCTAATTAACTAATAATTATCATACGCTACCATAGACATTTTTGGAGAACGTTTAGGATTTGTTTTCAAGACGTTTTCTTACTTAAGCCATGAATAAAAGTAACCAAATGTGGTACAGAAACATAAACGAATAAAAGGAACTTCATATTCATTTCACAATAATACTTATGAATGAAATTCAGTAAAATTAGGAATATTTGGTATCATCTGAAAGGGTTTAAATTCTCTACATGTTTTGTAAATTTGTGCACAACATTTTTATTGTATATAAGTCATGTTGTTTAAAGAAGTATAGTTGTTTAAAAAGCACATATTTGTAAAATCTGGAAACATTCGAAAGACCTTGTCACAGGGAGAGTTCATCGTTCTAGGCGGTGTCCATCTTCGTTGTGATTATTGGTGACTTTGCGGTGATGTACTAGGATCCAGCTAAGTATGATTAGTAGGGACGGGCATGATTGGGGAGAGATTGTGAAGTTAAAGATAAAGTTGAGTTCTGGTAAGAAAAGAAAATGAATTCTCACAGAATCTAACGAAACTTACACTGAATGTTCAAGATTACAAATAAATGTCAAGTACCAATCAATTTTGGAAGAAAATGTATACTGGCTGAGTAATGAGCATAGAAAGATAAGGAAATCAGGGTAGTACTAGCCCCGACACCATGTGTGTTGTCCGAAATACATCTTTCTGTGTAAGTGATTGTTACTTTACCAAGACTCTGCCAAATTTAAGATGATTTTGATGACTCCAGAACCTTGCATTACACACCATTACTTTCATGCTATATGATCAACTTTTCTGATTCATTCCACACCTTTTCTTTCACAATGCAATCGCATTACCAGAACTCAAGTTTATCTTTAAAAGTAATTATTTATATTACTCATTCAGATTTAAGGGGGATGTGTGTGTGTGTGTGTGTACGTCTTTTGTTTTTCTCTGATCTTTTGTTTGTTTTTTAATGCTTTGTTTTTCTTCTTCTGATACCCATATAAACATGAAAAAGAAATTTGATGACTGTGATTTTCTCCTTTGAATCACTGTGAACGTTGATATCAAGAACCTGGTATAGTCGTGATACTTCAAAGCTGTTGAAATGATCATTTGATATGCCAACCTTTCAAAATTGCAAAATATACAGGTACATCAGCATGGTCTTTAACAGCGATTAATCATATTTCAAAGCTATACTTGACATTTTTTGAGCATTTAGCCTACCTGCTGTAGACAATGACAATGCCCTAGGGGTTACAATGATCATTAGGCCTATTGTATGACGTGAACTAGAGCACAATAATGGTTTCTTCGTGACGTGTGGTGTTTGTACGGCGCTTCCTTCCACCCAATATAAACGGCAGTTAAATTAGTTTTATTTCCTCTTTATATAACAACGAGATAGCGGCCTCATACTACGTGTGGGATATCATTAACTAGAACCCGGGTATAATTGTAACAACTAGAGTCAAATCAAATAGGAATATACTAGGAATGCATGAAAAACCGAGGGTAAATGAAGGAGAAACAAAGGCCTGAATCCTGTTTCCGCAGAAATTACAAAATAGTATGTATACTAGAACCAGTGTGTAATTGTAAACAGCCTCTGCTAGTACCAAATCAAATAGATCTATCAGGAATGTATAGAAACCAAGGCCAATGAAGGAGGAACAAAGGCTCGTATCCTGTTTCGATAGAAAATGAATATTTAAAATACATAATGACAAGCATTTTCTTTATTTAATTCAATTTCATTTCACCAGAGCAATTAAAAAATAACATGCATACAATGTCATATACATAGAATTAAACATCGTTGCATAAAAAGAATATAATACTTGTAAATACATTGCCATTGGTTGATTGGGAGGTAGCAGCCAGAATAAACAAGGAAGTAACCCTTATAAGTGCCCGACCTAAAGAAGATATGTACTTACAAGTTTAATATAAATGTAAAAGAAGAGTAGCTATGCAAATAATAACAGGTTGTCGGCTATTAGCCTGACTGGATATGTAAAGAGAAACAGAATACCATTGTACAAATTATCAAAGGGAAAACCCCCGCGTATGACGATATTAAGATATACGTAATTCATTATAATGATGCGTTTGAAATGTAAAAGAGATTCATAACGGGTATTTGACTCGCTAAAATTAGAAAATTAGAAAATTTGATGTGTTTTGTCTGCCAACTAAATGTTAATATATTCATTTTAGCATTATATTCTTATTTGGTGTAATTTTGAAGAAAAACAAAAATGGCTGCCTGTTCTGTGCGATAGAAACATTTATTTTAAATATACGCAATGACTTTATATTATATAATAATATTTAGGAATCCCCCAAAACCCCCACATGGTAAAATTGCCCTTATATGTATAATTTAGACCAGTATATCGTCTTATTTTCTTAGATACATACATGTATATATTATCTCACAAAATCCATTTCTAGGGCTAGAATGACATACTCGGGAACTTAAAGGGGAACTACGTACATGCTGCAGTACCTGCAACTCATGCAAGTTTCTAAGATTTTTCTCCCATAAATTTGTTATACGAGGAGGGAATGCACTTTTAGCGGAACGTATGCTACAGGCAGCCATTTTCCTGATGATATGATGTTACTTACGTCAGTTGTTCAGATTTATGTAAATCCACAATAATTTGATTCAAATGAAACATAAGATTCATTGGTAGTGCAGTATTCCAATGAATATCATATCAAATAGGTGTATACTGCTTGTACAAGAAGAAGAAGAAGAAGAAGAAAAAGAAGAAGAAGGTGGAGGGTGAAGAAAAGGAAGAAGAATAAAACGAAGAAGAAGAGGAGGAGAGGGAGGAGGAGGAGGAGAATAAGAAGAGGAAAATGACAAAGGAGAACAAGAAGTAGAATGAGATTAAGAACTAGAAAAAAAACAATAACAGGACATGATATCTAAGATTAGAAGAAAGAATTAAAAGGAGGATTATAAATCTAAGAATGAGTATACACGAAGGTCAAAAAACATATTAGAAGAGGGAAAATCAGAAAAAAGAACCTGGATATAAAATGACAAGCCACATTTTTACAACATAATGATACAGGCCAAAAAATTCATATATCACTCGATCATGCTAAACATGTGTAATAGAAAACGCGCAGTCATTTTGTGACAGAAGATAACCTAATTATTTTATAAAGGTATCGTGATAAACGAATCAGTTTCCATGACGACATAATTTCAACAAACATGAGTAAGGGTATAAATCACTCATCATACTTCACATTTTCCCCTATGCTCCGGCCAAGTAGACTGTTATCATGACAGTTGTAATTTGAAGAAAGAGTGTTTGTTACTTGTTAACATCGTTTTATGATTATTATTATTGCTATATGGTTTATATTATTATAGATTTTGGCTCTGTTAAATATCATCATGAAATTTCACTGATTAATCGTTGCTCGAAAATTAGTAATTAATGTCCTTTTTGATCTCAAGGGCGTTTAAGCGTTACATCTGTATAGAATGATATAAGTTAGCACCCTTCTAGCTATCAACACGTGATTATCGTCTGCTGCGTGAGAGCCAAACGAGCGTTAACTCAGCATACATTTATTGATTTATAACTTTTATAATTTCATTCAGAGTTTGGGCCCTTTTGGCTTTGAAAAATAACGTACATTTTTTTACTCTACGCTTGAGTTTTACAAAGTTGTTAAGTGTTATCTATTATTTCTACCACCAGGATGCGTCTGAACCCGCTGGACCTCCTGTCCAAGATACCCGAGATCTTCGGTGACATCGCACATCTTCGGATAGTCGGTTACGACATCATCATCTTGAGCGAATATAGCATCATCAAAGAGGCGTTTCACAGAGCCGATTTCTCAGCTCGTCCCAAGCCTGTCTACCACACGGTTGCAGGCCGGAGCAACTTCGGTACGTAATCCCAAAGCAGATAGAGGTGGCGTGGAATAGTGGTTCATTCACGTGACTCTCAATCCAAGGTTTGAGGGTTCGAATGTCGATTAATGTCTTGCCACTCTCCACCCTGGTCAGGAAGAGCAGCCTAGAGCTGATGAGGCTTCCTTGTGTAAACAAATAATCATTTTAGGCAATTTTGGCAATTTGAATCTACTAATATACTGATAACCATCTGTGACTTCCCCCAAAGGGGCTTTGCTAGACCCATTGGCGCGGGGGAGGATGTTGTCGTACTAATTTGGGTAATGCTTGCCAAACTTTCCAACGTACGACTAAAAATCCTTTATGTGGTATAATCATTGGTAAGGTTAAAAGCGACACTTTAGCCAACAGAGCGTTTCTAATTATTAGGAGAAGGGAAGTGTAAAAGAACAAAACAACCTTTCTCTAGCGATGCCCTGCCCCCCCCCCCCCCCCCCCATCGGCCCCGCTAAACAACCTGGCATTGCTGTTTATTCACCAAAACATGAATCAATAATAGATATTCATGCCGGAAAAAATTGAAGTGGGCTTATTTCCTGAACAAAATGGCAATCGGGCGTCGATCAAACCTTTGTAGAATATTTATAAATACAGTGCATCTGTTTCACTTGCTTCGCTCACCCCACATGTTAGACACTACACTTTATTGTATGCATTCGTATTGTTCACCTTCACCTTTCTACAATGATGTAATTCCCCTTTAATCTTTGTTGTACACCACTGCTTTCTTGTATCTGATTTTTCTGGGGGAAAATATCATAGTTGTCCTACTGTGCATCTTTCATTTTACATCAGGGTTCAATCTTTAATCTAACGATATTTTTTTAGACAGTATAATATAGCTTTCGTGGGAAATAGGAAAATTAAAAGTATGTATAAATTGTGCAAAAAATGATATATGTAACAACAGAAATCAACATCGTACACATATTGCACAAATGAATATATACACAATATAATGAAAATATTTATAAGATATTGAAAAGTGAGGCTACTACTACTCTCACCCTGATAGGTCTGATGTCAGCCTCGGGTGACGTCTCTAAGGAGCAACGACAGGTGGCGTACTCCTTCTTTAGAAACCTCGGTCTTGTAAAAAGCAGCTTTGAAGAGAAGATTGTGGTAGAAATCACCCATCTTATGGACGCGTTCAGAAAAACAGAGGTATTTGTCCGTCTTGTTTAACTCTTTAATCGGATCTTGTTGAATCTAGTCCTTTACTCTAACTCATTTTATTTTATTAGATCTACCCTGCTGTCTATCTAATTTGGCGTAGAGTAACTACGATGAGTACGGGGAAGGGGCATGCACCCCCCCGGTCTTGATATGAATTATGATCTAAATAAATTATTATCGAAGAATTGAAAATGGGAATACACTCACGCCATTGATTAACATTAAATTTAATCTATTTCCCGCAACAAACTTAACTGGACACCACGCAACTGTATTATTGATTAACTTGATAACTTGACAAGAAGTTTTATTTAATTATTAATAAAAATATATCACCATACAGTATTGCATAAGAAAGTTTGATTAATGTTCTATTCTTCTTTGGTTTGCAGGGGAAAGCTTTCAGTCCCAAGGTGATGATAAACAACGCCATGTCCAATATTATCTGTGCCGTAACCTTTGGTTCAAGACACGAGTATAGCGATCCAGTCTTCAATGCGATATTAAATGCTCTCAACTCCAATTTGCAGATAAGTAAGTTATTAATGTGTGTGTTCTGTGTTTGTCGTTGCCCCCCTCCCCCCCCCCCCCCATTTTTTGTTTAAATACTTTTTTTTAATGTGTATGACTATTCAAAGTTGAAGTTAGCACAAGGACCGATCTGTTTGCAGTCGTTGCCTGATGGTAGGTCGATTGGATTTTTGTCTGGTTCTGGAAAATCTATAACAAAATACTGTTGACAACTTTAAGGCGCGTCTTAAAACATTTCTTTTCAAAATTCATCCATTTTATACGTATTAACATATAATGAATTATGTTTTGTTTTGTTGTCACTGTTTTTTTGATCAGGTAAATCCGGCGGCCTCTTCTTCTTCCTGCACACATTGGCCAACGTCCCCAACACTCCAGGTCACAAGATCCGCCAGAATGTCACCTGCATCAGCACCCATATGAAGAAGTTTCTGGATGATCACCTCAAAGACCACCAACCGGACCAACCCCGGGACATGGTCGACATGTACATCGATAAGATTCATCAGCACAAGCAGGTATGATGATGAAAGTGGTAGCGGTGGCAATGATGATGACGATGGTGGTGATGATGGTGTTGATGATGATGATGACGATGGTGATAATGGTGATGGTGGTGGTGATGTTGACAATGACGATGGTGGTGATAGTTGTGATGGTGGAGATGATGGTGATGGTCATGACGATGGTCATGATAGTGGTGATGGTGATGACGATGGTGGTGATAGTGTTGATGGTGTTGGTGATGATGATGACGATGGTGATAATGGTGATGGAGATGGTAAATGATGACAATGACGACGGTGGTGATAGTGGGGATGATGATGGTGGTGGTGGTGATAATGATGATGACGATGGTGGTGATGGTGGTGGTGATGATGATGACAATGGTGGAGATATTTGTGATAGTTAGGTGATGATGATGATGACGATGGTGGTGGTGGTGATGGTGGTGATGGTGGTGATGATGATGACGATGGTGGTGATGGTGGTGGTGGTGATGATGACAATGGTGGAGATATTGGTGATAGTTAGGTGATGATGATGATGACAATGGTGGTGATGATGATGGTGATGATGATGATGATGGTGGTGATAATAATGTAGATCGGAGTTCTCACCCCCAAGATAGTTGATTGTATGAAATAGGACTCTAATTTTTTTTGCTCCTCAGGAAGTCGAGTTGAAGAAACCAAACTGCCTTCTCGTCGCTATTTGGGGTGACGAGATTCGAGTTGTTTTAAGTGACGAATCCGTATTGTTCCTTTTTGTCGCTATTAACGAGATAAGAGTTCATTCTTGTTGCTCTTATTATTGAAGAGATTATTATTATTTGGGGAGACGAAATCCGAGTAATTTCTTCTCATTGTTGTTAGGGTTGATGAAATTCGAATTGTTTCTTCTCGTCGCTATTTTAGGGTAACGAGATTTGGGTCTCTTCATCTCGTGACTATTTGGGATGACGCGATCCGAGTTTGTTGCTATTAGGGATGACGAAATCCGAACTGTTTCTTGTCGTCGATTTGTTTTTCTCGTCGCTATTATGGGTAAGGAAACCCGAGCTGTTTTCTCTCATCATTATTTGCGGGTGACGAGATTCGAGTCCCTTCTTCTGCTGCCTTTTTGAGATGATGAGTTCCGAGTTTTTGTCGCTATTAAGAGTGACGAAATCCAGGAATCTATTATTTTTGTCTCTGTATAGTCGAGTTGACGGGATTGAGACGCTCATTGTCTTGTACAAAAAGTAAATAGCCGGTATTCTGAAGTCGTAACTAAGTCCTGTCCAACTAAACAGTTGTTTAACTTTATTCATGACTAAGTTAGACACGACTTCAGAATATCGGCTGGGGTGATGAAGTTTTGTATGTCGTCCTTCTCATCTTACGAGAGTTGGAGTGACAAATTTAGCGGCACAAGCTTTTTCCTCATTCAGCTATTATATGTGTAGCTTCAAGGATTTCAAGTTGGATTTCGTCAGTTAAGCTTAAGGAGCATCTCATTTTCTCGGCCCAGTATAGTTAGAAAAGAAAGTCAGGTTGATGAGATCTTAGACTTCAATTCTCTCTCACTCTCTCTCTCTCTCTCTCTCTCTCTCTCCCTCTCTCTCTCTCTATCTCTCTTACTCTCTCTCTCTCTCTCTCTCTCTCTCTCTCCCAATCACACACTCTTTCTCCCTCTTTCTCACTCTGTCTCACAGAACGGTACTGTATCTTCTTACGATGAGCTTAACACCGTGTTTAGTCTCGCCGATATCTTCGCCGCTGCCTCTGAAACCACCACCACCACGTTGCGGTGGTTGATGCTCCGTATGGTCACACATCCCGACATCCAGAAGAAAATCCAAGACGAGATCGACGACGCAGTTGGTCGGGACAGGTGATTATTATATTTTACAATTGATTTACTAGCAAAAGTAAAAATTGAAAATCTCCGATCGTGTCAGATCTCCGGCTGCGCCTAGAGTTCTGCTTATTCAGATATTGTATTTCCGAAAATAACAAGTGAATGTCAAAATAAATTAATAATTTGATGTTTGAAGACACCAGGGCCCCGTCTGATAAAGAGTTGATATTAATCGAAACTTATTTGCCGCAACTATGTACATAAGTGACAGGAGACTGCAAACTTGCGATTGATTTGGATCAATCGCAACTGTAAGACGGGGCCCAGATGTTCATGCCATTCACACATTTTGGCATTTGTATATTATGTTTTTATCCGGAGATTCCCGTCTGATACAGTGATTTTCTACTTGTATTGTATAGCAAGATAATGAGCCAGATAATTGATTGCTCCGAGATCTGATGAATAGTGGAGTAAATCTCTTACTGAAAGGCCAAATCAAGGCTCTCTCTGTGTCTTCATCGACACTATTTCAAACTGCAAGTGTAACTCATAGATATTCATTTACATACACAACCTACAGTTTGTTCACACACATCCTTGTCACGTGATAATTTACATCATTGTCACGTGATAATTTACATCATTTGCCAGGATATAGATTATTTTCACCTCTTCTCTTTCTTTCTTTCTTTCTTTCTTTTTCATTTCATTTACTTATCTTCCAAATTCCAATGTAAAACATGATGCTTAAACGTTTTTATGAAGTTGAGCGGATTCTTACATCAAACGCAATAAATTTGTTTTATTACTAAATAAATGGAGACATGTGCAGTTGACTTTTACTAATATGTCACAACATGTACTTTGTTTAAATCTATTGTTGTTCTCACTCAAGAACGATTGAATACAATTTTTCATTGGAATATATATATGTATATATATATATATATATATATATATATATATATATATATATATAATAAACTGCAAAGGAATCTTTTCGTAAAGAAACAAACATACAAAAAACCAAATAATTGACCAAAGGGGAAATGTGAGTAAACTTGGGAAACCAGTATGCGGATGTGGAAAGCAAAAGTAAAAGTTGCTTGTCCGGGTTCATCCCAAGATTAATTATATCACCATTGTGTAAACATTGTAAACAAAGGAAGAAGGAAACGTCTCCTCCGTTTAGATTATTAGTCTCATATTGGCTCACATTGAGTTAAAATGATATTCTTGAAACGTTCTAAATTCTGTTCAAACGTTATTCATCGAAAAGTGAAAGTTTTGTTGTAGAAATGGTACAAACTGCATGAAGCAATTTGAATTCACCGGTAAGCACTATTTTTGCAGGTTACCCACGTTATTGGACAAACCCAAACTACCATACACGGAGGCCACCATACTCGAGGTTATGCGACTCAATTTCGTCACACCTCTCGGCGTACCTCATCAGTACACTGGGCGTGGTGAACTTAGTTTCCATGGTTACGATATCCCTGAGGGCGCCATCGTCTTTGCCAATTACTGGAGCATATCACGAGATCCAAAGCTGTGGGATGACCCGGAAGTGTTCAGGCCCGAGCGTTTTCTGAACGAGGAGGGCAAATGCGTGAAGCCAGATGAGTTGACTCCGTTCAGTATTGGTGAGTCTATCGTACTCTTCTGCCAATTCTCTATCCCGGAGGGTAGCAGTTTTGGATGATAAGGATGGGCATGGGGATAGGAGGGGGGGGGGGGGGGTGCGTCGATGACTGGTACAAGCAAAGAATTGTGATCATACGGGAGAATGTTAAGAATGAGTGACCCAACCGTTGTTTTTTACACAAATAATTGTAAATCATGTCGTCTACACACAAGTTTGCGCTTTTGTTGGAACTAACTGCATGTTCCCACTATCAATCCGATTATTGTTTACTGCATCAAAGAAAGGTTTCATTTTCAAATACAATTTCCCTCTTTTCATCTTTACTTCCCGCAGGCAAACGAGTGTGCATTGGTGAGTCGTTAGCGAAGATGGAACTATCTCTGTTATTCACGCATCTTCTCCACCGGTTCACGTTTACCTTACCCGACGGTGTCCCGTCTTACTCCATGAAAGATTCGCTGGGCGCCGTCAATACACCCGTGTCCTATCAACTATGTGCAATACCACGGGACTGAATCGTATTAAGGCCACCGAACACACTAGGGCCTACGACTAGACTACGACTGCACTACGAATGCACTACGACTGCACTGCGACTAGTCAACCACTTGTCTACGACTTGTATACTACCGTAATACGACCGTAATACGACCGGACTGGTACTACGTTCTGACAACAATTACAATAGATATCAATTAGGAAAAGATAAGACAATTCCTCCTGATTGGGTATCCGCATAGCCATATGAATAATTGAAGCCTTCTAGCTAGCTCAATCGGCTACCAGTCGGTGGGCAGTCGTGCGACTATAACAACGTCACTGTGGGAAACATCTAATCGGTTCTTTTCTCCCATAGGAATGCGCTTAACAACCTTTAATTTTTGTATTACTATTCGTATAAGGGATCTTTATAAGGGAGGATTTACAACTTTTTACATTTTGCATATATAGGCCTAATCCATTTGCAAATTCTTTAAACAAATCTTGTAATAATCTCGGTCGGAAGTTCTAAACCAAGCAACTTGCGGCTTGTAGCCCATACATGTAAGCCATGGGGTAAAGGTTGGAGTTCTTATGCAGTTTCCCAATGTAAAATAAGAGATAATGTTCCGTTGTTTCACAAGCAAACAGAAACTCTATTCTGAAAATTGGCAAAGTTTGAGAGGAGACGGATCCCTCTCGCTCTCACTACGTTAATGATGTAGCCTTGCAGGATTACATATAAATGTAGAGAGGTTTTCTAAATTAGTATGTTACACGGCGTTTTAATTTTGATGATTTAAAAACCTCACAAAAAAATGCAGTTATTCTTGATGAACTATGTAGCCTTTCTTAATAATTTCCCGACAGGTTTTATAATAGTACAATAGCACGACCAGTACTAAACTCTACCAGTTTGTTCTACCAGTGATTTGTGTAAATATATACACCGGAAATGGATGTTGATATCGAGGTCTCCGTGAAAACAGGAAAGGAAATCCGAACATCAATAATATAGGCCTCTAATCTTGGCATACAGTCAGATCCAGGGACCGATTCCCCCCCCCCCCCCCCCCAAGCCTCCTAAGTCAAATTCCAAAAATCACATTTGAGGTGAAAATTCCCCTCACCCCCTCCGAGAATAAAAAAGAAAGGGTGCCGAAACCACGTTCCCAAGGGGAAGAAAATGTTTTGAAAAATATTGACCTCTTCCCTTTCCGGCACTCCTGGATCCGCCCCTTTTAGGCTTGGTCACTTGAGGTTCGTTATGATATGGAGCGGTCAATAAACCACCACACACAAAAAAAACGTCACGGATGTTTTGTACTTGTACAATAAATGGCCACAAAGAACTCGCGCATATTCAACGAGCTCTGTGTTGTAATATACAGAAAGTTCAAGAATATTACACTTTACGTCATCATAAAAATACCGCAGCGGTTATAACCGCATCATATCTGAACGAGTCGTTATTCATTGTCCACCCCCCCCCCCCCCTAAGTATCCCCTGGTTCGATGTAATATTGGACAATGGCCCTGTTTCATAAAAACTTGTTATCAATAACAAATGCTCACTGATTTCTATATGACAAATTTGCTCTCAGTCCAACAAATGCCACGATTTCAGTAACTTAACAGTTATTGTAACTTGTTATTGCGAACAAGTTTGATGAAACAGGGCACAGAGAATTGTTCCAAAGATAATCTAAAAAATTTCTATCAGTATTGTAGTATAAGGAAGAGTATAAGTAGTCAGAGGTTGTAGTATACTTTGTTTCGTGTTTTATGTTTTTGTAAATATATGTAAATATTACATTTTGTTACAAGTGCTGCTTTGCTACTATATTTTAGAAAAAATGAAACACGTTTGGATACAATTTTAGTTCATTTATTTAAGTAGCAGCCTTCCAACATACATCGGTAATCGTAAAGAAGAAGAATTATTGGATATTAATAGGCGATATAGGAAACTTGTATAGTCCTGTAGAATGTGCCTTATTTGTGTACTTTCCGTATGATTGTCCTACATCAAATTTAATGGCGTTGAAAATTTCGCACTTTCACACTTTCGTTTGAAAAATTCGTATATCTTCCGTTAACTAAAAATAAAATATATATGCGACGAAAAATTAGTATATTTAGCTGTATTTGGAGGTTGAATATCCATTTCCAAAGTCTTTCACCTACCTCGCTATTTTGTAATGTACATTGTAACAAAAAAAAACATTTATTATTACTGTTTATAAATATTTGATTTATTTTTTGTAGGAGGATTTTGTCATGGATTTATAATGGTTGGTGGGTAAAAGCCTCTCTCAATTAGTGTTGGGAGCCCAACTAATTTGATGGCAAACATTCACTTCAATTGTATAATAAAGTGAAAGAGGATGTCAGTGTAATGACTTCTGCAAGGATTTTCAGAATACATGTGTGTGAAGACGAATATTGATGAAAGAATACAAAATTCAGGTTTTCTGCGCAAAAAACAACAACACAAGTTTTGTATTCTTTCATTCATTATTTGTCTTCAAACATTTTTGTTTTGAAAATCCTTGGAGTGTTGAGTGTTATATGACACCCTCTTTTACCTCATTAAATAATTTAGGTGAAATGTTGCCATTAATTTGTTTAAGGCGAATTTGGGGCTCCCAACCACCCTCTAGAGGGGCTTAATGGCACATCCAGCAAGGGGGTACAGCATTTTGGAGGTCTATAGGGATATAAAAATCAATACATCTTGCAATGGGCGCACATCTCTCTGGCATGTCCAGATACAATGACGCATCCTCCCTCTTTTTATCTGTAAATTCAAGCAACCCCTCCCATTCTATCCCATTTTATCTATACCTATATTTTTATAGATTTGTTTAAATCTGGTAACAGGAAAGAAGTTTTGCATTTGTCATAAAATAATTGGACGTAATAAAATCTAGAATTGTTTTTAGCTTTCATTATTCGTATCGTGGATTTTTATGTCTTTCTTAAGTTTCGTTTGTTCTTCATATTGCCTGGATTATAATTATTCCGTCTTGTTCGTATTTTAGTAGGAGACCAGCCTGTAGGTCCCGTGACCAATCTCGGGGAACAAAGGTTTGAAAGTGTTTTTGTGTTCCCTGATGAATATCGAACAATTTTGACTTGGGCTGCCCCCTTGAAAATCCCAGGCATTTTCGTGAGGGGTCAACAAAGGTCATACAGGGTAGAAATTCAAATATATTCCAATCGTGTCGATATGCATATCAAACTACTCGTCTGGTCATGAGGATTAAAAAAATGTATAGTTTGCTATACATGTACCTCCGACCTTAAATGAGGGCGCTATGGTAAAAAAACGTCGAAAGGTCAACACACTTTTGACTGGTGGTCAAATTTACCAACACGGTTAACAACGTCCGATTCTAATGATTTTAGTGTCTAATAATATGTTTTCTGACATAACAAATTCAACTAAGCAACTTTTAAAACCAAAAGTGGTTGCCATTGTATGGGAAATGTATGGTGAACATTGTATGGGAAATGTATGGTGGCCCTGTGGTTAGCTATATGGTCTCACTCTCGACTGATCAAGGTTCGATCCCTAGTTGCGTCTTGCGGATGAAAAATTGACATTCATGGTCCGCAACCAGGCTTTGATTATCAGTCGGCAAGTCTTCTAAATTTGTTTTGTTGGAATTCATTTGATGACGCGTGGTAGTTCATCACAATCACAACTGTAATGAATTAAAGGTCAGTATTGGAAACGCCCCAATTTCAAAAAATGAAATGGAAGCTCTCATTACCAATCATGTAAAAGAATATGTTTTGACTAATACATGATGATAAAAAATTTGCCGGGAAACCGCCTACTAATTCATATATTTGGTAAATTTGTTTCTCTCATGGTCTGTGAGAGATATAGGGTAGTCCCATATACATCTTTCTGTGTATAGTGCTTGTAACTTTACGAAGAATGGGCCAAATTTCTTATCATTTTGATGATTCCAGAACCTTGCAGATGCTAGATGCTAGATGATCAACCGTTTATGATCGATTCCACAACGTTTCTTTCACAATGCAATCGCATGACCAGAACTGGTCTTTACCTTTAAAGGCAGGGGCCCGACTTGTGTCAAAAGTGGTCAACCAACAAAACAGCATAGACAAACAGGAAAAGATAAAACAAACCAAGAAACACTCCCTCGGCTGATATAAGGCTTCCGAAGTATGGTATTTATTTCAGATTATTCATTCTCCAACTGTTATACGTTAAAGGGATCCGGTAACTTTGTCTTAGATCCTTTATAAATAGTCCTTGATTTAGCTCATGCTGCAATGATAATTATAAACCTTTAGGTCAGTCAGGAACTCCATGACTTTTACAAGCCGATCGCCTGTCTGATTATCAAGGTATTAATGATTGGAATTACAAATTTTGAAAACCGTTCACCGAACGGTTTTCATAACACTACAGCCTATTGGGGAAAACGAGTATGGTAAAACCGGTCACTCAAAGATTTTAACTTTTTTGAGGCACTTCTTGATCATTTTGAAGCGCGATTTTTTTTTAGGGCTTCAATATTACACCATATTACAGACACTGGTAACATGTAGGACCGTGTATCTCAGATTTATCATTGTTAAACGATCCATTTAAATTATAGTTGTCTAATTATCTATTTAACCCAAAGCTTTGGTAATGTTTAACATCATCCAGTAACTACATAAATTAACAACGAAAAAATACAAAATAACTGAGACACAAAGGAAAATACACATAAACTCATGGAATATAAAAATTATGAACTTGTGAGATTTTTTTTTTTTAGGATTCTCGCTTCTTTTCTTTTCTGAGTTTAATTTCCCTCTTTGTTTCCCCCTTTTTTATCTTCTATTTTACTTATATTTCAACCATTGCAGCTGTTACTAGCCTACTACTGCTACTGCTTCTACTACTACAACTTGTTCTTCTCCTCCTCCTCCTCCTTCTTCCTCTCCTCCTCCTCCTCCTTTCTCTTCTCCTTCTACATCGTTATTATCTTCTTCCTATTCCTATTCTTATTCCTATACTACTTCTTCTTCTTCTTCTTCTCCTGCTCCTCTTCTTCTTCTTCTTCCTCTTCCTCTTCTTCTTCTTCTTCTTCTTCTTCTTCTTCTTCTTCTTCTTCTTCTTTTGTTTTCACTTCTGCTGCTTTTACTATTATAGTAATGATAATGAAAGATGAAAGAAGTTTTACTTTCCTACACTTACTTTTCCCTTTTTTTCACTTCCCGTAACTCCTTGTAATTTGTCTCTTTTCATCGACATAAGGCAAGCTACAATAATATACATGTTAAATAACTTCTCATACTTGTGAATTTTAAAAGCACTCCCGACTAGTTATATACTACAACTGAGAACATTAATGTGGTACTATTCGAAGTTTTGTTTTGAATAGCGAACTTCGCTGGATGAGTCCATTCTTATCACAGGGGTGTGTCGTTTGAGCTGGCAAACTCAGTTTGAACCGTTGACAAATGTGTCTGATCAGCATGGAAGAGGCTGATGACGACATCGCATCAGCTGGACATGCTCGTTTACCTGAGGAACAGAGAAATTAAAAGAAAAATGCTTGAGAAAGTGAGACAACGAATACGAAAATAGAATCGGAGAACGAGACGGAAAAAGACAAGGATACTATGGATTATATCATGAAGAAGAAAAGGGGAAATATAAAAGAGAAAGGATGCGAATAAGGCCAGGGGCGAGAGAGGGAGGGGAAAACGAAAGAGTTGACAAAATTAAGTATCAAACCTGTTCCTCATATTTCTGTAACAGTCACAAACAATTTTATACAAAGTTTGGTAGTCACATTGACCCCGTAAACCATTTTGACATACCTGCTGGAAATGAGATCATCTGTGGATGTTCAACCAGAGATCCGTCCTCGCCCAGAAATCTTCCAGGTTGGAACTGAGTCGGTTCGTCCCAATCCTGGTCATCACCCTGCCTGAGGTATCTCCAATTTGCCACGACTACAGCGTCCTGAAGAATCTCGAAGTCAGCGAGTTTGACATCGGACAGCGCCATCAACGACGTTGACCAAGGATTGTCAGGTGCGAGGCGTTGCGTCTCGAGCTGAACTGCTGCAAGGTAAGCCGAAGGTTCCTGGTCGTCTTGTTCCCTTGCTTTAGGACAGATGTCTTCCTTCAACTTGGACTGAACTTCTGGGTGTGAAGCGAGCAGGAGGAGGGATTGGGTAAGAAGGAGGGATGCTTCATCAACGCAGACAGTCACGAGGTCTATGCATGCCCAGAGAAGGTTGTCACTGGTTAGGGATGTCATCGAACCGTCTTCCTGGTAACCAATGTCCAAATAATAAAGTATAGTATGGTGAAGTGGTCAAATACTCGAGTTGTGCACCCTCCTGAAATCATACTTAACATAAATTCATGAATCATTGGAAATTTAACACACTGCTAATAATAGAGAAAAGACTTGATAGAATCTCTATGAAAGATTATAAAGTTACATAAAATGCCTACAATTGATTTTTTTATTTTTGTGCAAAATGTAGACCAATTGCGACCAAGTCTAAATATATATATATATTACGAATTTACTAGAAGTCACCTTTGGCTGATTAAAAGTGCATTCTGTCTTTTTGAAAAACATTTTCTCATTATAGATGAAAAAAACACTTCGAGATTTCAGTTATTCAATTGTCGCTTAACTATATTATGATAACATTATAAAAGCCAATCATTTACTTATAATTCAATATATTTAAGATTATAACAGACTTGGCATATACGTACCATACTTTGTAATTTCTCATGCCTTTCGTCCCAATACCTCCTAACAAAGCAGGGTATTAAAATCTCGGTCTGTTTGGTGTGGTCACCGACCAATGTCTTGACCAGAGCAACAAATTGGACATTGAGTTGATGTCTCCTTTTGGCGCCACTGCCCGTCAAGTTATTTACGTAGGACGGCAGCAGACGCCTTGTCGCAGAGGCCGATTCTCTCTGTCTCTCCATAACGATGTCAACGACCTCCTTCACGATGTCATCATTGACATCGAGAACCTTTCCGAAGATCACCTGACAGAAGATGACGGCAAGAGTCTGGACAGAGTAATGATGGATGATGAGGTCTTTGTCAGTTTGGTCGGTCAGAACCTTGATAAATTTGGTGGCCTCTATGGTACAGATGTCTTCCAGTTGTTTGCTCTTGGACAGTGCTGTCACAAAACCTGAGAGGACATCGTGATGTTCCTTCCATGTGTGTCCGTAGGAAGTTAAGATACCTGGAAAGAGCAGAATTAGAATGAAATGTGGGCATCCATATAACATATAATTATTATTATTATAGATACATTGTCTTCTTTACTAAAGATAGCCTCATCAGTTATTACCCAATGTTTCCAGATACCATTGGTCGAGAGAGACAAAATGTAGTATAAAACCTAGTAATAGGATGCAACTCTAAATCACGAAGACGAGCTCGAACCCATGCAGGACTGGACGACTGATAGTTAAGAGCTTTGACCAATATACCACATATATCACATGATGAGACACCGACTCCACTGACCCAACACTTACAGCAAAAAAAAAATGACTGCATTCAAATGAACCACTTGTATTTTCTAAAAAAATAAAGGTGTCTTTAAAGTAGTGACATAATTTTACAGGAATTAAGTTTATCAGAGCATCGCAATGACACTGAAGGGTTGTCGAATTCATTCTAATGGTCACGCCATTTATTCATTTATAGTGATCTGAATCTGTAAATGGGATATGATATTCTAATAATGATGATTGTTTAGACAATCTTAGCACTATTCAGGGACCGACAAATTGATTTACTTATTCTCACCAACATTCGGCTCTTTGGACAGGTTCGCATGTAACTTGGATCTCATTCGTCCGCAGAAATCGGGATGATTGGCGACTTCTCGAACAAGCTTCAAGTCGTTGATGACCACCACGTTATGATGGTAGATCCGATACCCGACCACCGCTCCGTACATCTTCCTCAGCCTCTCGTGGAAGTCATTGATGTCGAACCTGGCTGCAATGAGTTGGGGTAGGTTCCCCAGAATGGACCACGTCCGTGGGCCTGGGAGAGGTTTGACGTTTGAGATGGGGTACTCGAACCATTGGGTATAGAGGACGAGGACAGTCATGAGCATGATGAAGAAGGCATAAGGGTCCAGGAAGGTATAAAGATCCATCCTAGTTGTTTGGAATGTTCCTGTTATCGTGATAATAATGACAATAACAACAACAATAACAATAACAACAATTATAATAATAATAATATTTTTGATTGGTGATCTTATTTTCCCAGGGTAGCCTCATCAGTTTAATACTGTTCTCCCTGAGAACCCTGCAATTACCAGGGCTTTAGCCGAGCTACCATGATAAGGCGCTTAAGCATTCTAGAAATTTCTTCCTACCGGCTACCCTTTTGCCACTCTCCATCCAGGTGTAGTAAATGGGTACCCGGTAGGAAGAAATTGTCTTATTCTGCCAAAGGACACTAGTGCCGTAGCGTGCTCTGCTATTGGCTCCTGGTTTATTTTGTAAAAAACGATAGAGTTAGGTTTAATAGTTAGGTTACTTTTAGGTTAGGTTTATGGTCATGTTTAGAGTTGGGTTCAGTTTTGGGCTATACGGTTGAAGTTATGAATTCGGTCACAGAGTAGGACATAATATCGCGGAGCAATGATTGTGGCAATAGCAAGTGTCCTACCATTAACCGGCTTTTGATATCTAGAGGATGAAAACATGGCGTTCCCAACACAAGCTCCCCCCCCCCCCCAGATATTCGTCTTCTTATTCTTTGCAATATTTTCTGTACTGATCTATTGTCAGATGCATTGTACCGATGTGTCAGAAGGATTTTGAATTGAATGCAAATTCAAAAGAAGGAAATGGCATTTTATTTCATTTCATTTCATTTCATTTCATTCTGCGCTTAAATTGATTGCTTGTTGTCTCATATCATAAATTTTGATCTAGGAAAGGTTGAGGAAGGAAACAGACGACAGATCGATCTTATAGACTCCCCCCCCCCCTCCACCTTTGCCCTTGCCTATTTGCAAATGCTGTTGTAAAATTATATCCAAATTATACTACAACTTATGAAGTTCATCCGAAAAAATTAGTCAGAAAATTACAATTTCTCTCCATATTTCACAACCAAGCAACCGCCATAATTAATATCAATATACGACATGCACAGACATGATATTCACACACGAAACAACTCAGTGGCGAATCACATACTAGTAGTATAGAAAGCTCAATATCCAGTATGTACTAATACACAGGTCAATTTAAATACAGGCGACATGGCTCTGCCTCTGTAATATCAGATCAGACTAAAGACAAACAGACTTTGACTCTTACCTAACAGATTAATACGTAACCATTCGTGTGGCTTCTTATTTCAAGACAGTTTGTTTTTAATTACTGTGAACCTGTGTAGCGACTTCTGTAGCTTCGAAATAGAGCTAGTTTGCACCGTTATGTAGACGGCTATTCGATGGTTGTGTTATTTTTCAGTAGACAGAATAAATATAGAGTCTTTCAAAACTATTGAAGCAATACCATGCACAAAAGAGATCGGCCTTTTCTATTGTACTTCCGTGTTTGCGTGCGACAACGAAACCGGAATTCCCCACCCAACACGTACCCCCCCCCCCCCCTCACCTTCTTCTCTCCCACTCTGTTTCCCTGTATTCAATATTATGCTCTCTCTCTCTCTCTCTCTTCCTCCTTCCTTTTTTCTATCTTTTTTGTCCCTCTGTCTAGTTTCAAAATATTTCTGTCTGTCTCTGTTTTGTTCGCCGTTAATGTGTGTACGCAGTGGCATAGCTACTGGGAGGGGTACGGGGAGAGGGGGGGGGCACGTGCCGCTCCATCTGTCGAATGGCAACATAAAAGGGAACAAATGAGAGCGTGGGAAAGGTGAAGGAAAAGGGGAAAGAACGTGAGATTATAAGGAGATAGTTTGCTCGACAATGTTCTTCAAAGATTATATTAATATGTGACTGCACCTCTTACAACAGATTATGGTAAAGAAAAATCACAATTTTATTTCATATTGAGTATTAAACCTGCGAACCGAAACTGAATATTAACGTTTAGAGTTCGAAAATATCTCTATTACAGTGACTATATAATCTCGTTATCTTTACCATATTCATATTCTTTTTAACAAGGTAAAACATCAGTATCGATAATTGTGTGAAAACACACTCTATTTTTCTTTTTTTAAAAGTAATCATTAAATATAGGATCAGTATATGATATGCATAAAGATTTAAAGAGTTTCTCCATCATAATTGGTACCTGAGACTTAATTCAGAAAAAAAATTCAAAACAGCATAATCGCGTATAGGTTTCCTTGATCCTCTACTTACAATCTTATTGATTATTGTGTAACGGAAACTAATATTCTCACTTTAGTCGTAAAAGACCACTCCGTGACAAAATTTGGAGTCCTTGGTTGAGTGAATTCTATTCTGCTTAAAAACAGAGTTGAGGATTGATAGTAGTTTTCAAGCTCTTTGCTTATATACCCTCTCAAAATTGATAGTCAATATACTAATAGTGATGATGATAATGATAGTGTAACAGTAAATAGTAACTTCTGGATTGATGAAGTATCAGGCAGTGTTTCTCAAAAATTATCAAATAAATTTGAAAGTCAAGCTTGGGGCTTGGCCGCTTGCAAATACTAGAGGCCTATGTGTAAGCAAACAGTTCTGCCGATATTGTCTTTTTGGTTTGCCTGTATATGTATAGCTGTGAAAATAGCGTTGGCTATTGTGTTGATAGCAAAAGTTTCAAGGTTGAAATAACAGACACTGAATATGTACATTTTTTTTCTCAGAGTATGACATATTCTAAATCAATATGAGGAGCACCATTATTTATATATATATATATATTCAACCATTGCATATTATATTGAAATACGCTGCAAACTCCTGGATAAGTATTTATGTTAAAAGCTTCAAACTATACTACTATAGACTTAGCATATGTAGTCGACATAAAGTTCGTATTCAGATTATTCAATGAGGATGTGTTTAATATAATACATGTAGTTGGTAAAGATAAGTCAAGGCACATTGTGGCCTACTTGATCACTAGTAACATAAATAGTTGACAAGGTGTTCATTAGTACAGTTTTAACAATTAGATGTTAGCTGTAAAAACTCACATCCCTCGAGGAATAACTTTTTGTCAAATTATCGATAAAATCAAAATTTAGAATAAATTACGCCACTGTGTGTATGTATTTCTCTTCCTCTCTGTCTCTCTTTCTCGAAATTTCTGTCGCTGTTTTTATTCTTTATTACATATCTTCAAACACCTTTATTGATTCTCCCCGCTCCCCCCCCCCCCCCCCCCCCCCCGCCCCGTCCCGAAATGCAACAGGTTATCTCTAACATTCGAAATTGAACCGAGAGACTTATAAGTTAGAATTGTACGGTCAATAAGTGTCTGGTGAAGAAATGCAAGAGCGCCAGCATTCGTTAAAATTGTGTTATGCCTTTTTCGGGTGATGGTTTTGTTGCTTGGCGAAATAGAGGCAGGGAAAGATACTGGGCAGGCGCGGATCCAGGATTTTCCAATAGGGGGGGCCGGAAATTTGAAAATTGCGCAGACCATTTTTTCAACTCAACATACCAATACTGACAAGGTCATAAATATTAGAAGTACGATACCGGTAGAATTTTTGACATTTCATCGGGGGGGGGGAGCTATAGCCTCTTGCCCGGAAAGTAATTTTCTGGTTTCACAATTCGAAATAGTGAGCGAAGCGAGCGAGCAACAATAATTTGTGAAAGTGTTATTTATCACCAAAATAAACGAGAAAAGATATCAAAAACTCATATTCGGGCAGCTCGCTGTCCCCCCCCCCCCCCCTCCATTACGCGCGAAGCGCGGAAGCTATGACCCTTTTATTAATTGTTACTAGAGAAGGAAGACGATTTGTTGTACCATTCTCAACTCTTAATCCTTGTCTGAATTCAGTTTCCTCCCGCCCGCGCGAAGCGCGGAAGCTTTGGCTTTTCAAAGTGTTGGCCTTTCATTAATTATTAGAGAAAGAAGAAGATTTGTTGTGCCATTCTCGACTCTTATTACTTGACTGAATTCAGCCCCCCCCCCCTTCCCGCGCGAAGCACGGAAACTTAGGCTTTTCATAGTTTAATGAAGTTATTAGAGAACGATGATTCGTTGTTCCATTTTCGACCCTTAAAGATTCTCTGAATTAAGTTTCCCCCCCCCCCCCTCCCGCGCGAAGCGCGGAAGCTTTGGCATTTCATTAAATTATAAGGGAAAGGAGACGATTCTTTGTACTATTCTCGACTCTTTATCCTTGTCTGAATTCAGTTTTTCCCCGCCCGCGCGTAGCGCGTAAGCTTTGACGGTTTATTAAATTATTAGAGGAAGAAGACGAATCGTTGTACCATTCTCGTCTCTTAATTCTTGTTTGAATTCAGTTCCCCCCCCGCGAAGCGCGTAAGCTTTGACGTTTCATTAATTATTAGAGAAAGAAGAAGATTTGTTGTACCATTCTCGACTCTTATTACTTGACTGAATTCAGCCCCCCCCCCCCCGCCTCCCGCGCGAAGCACGGAAACTTTGGCCTTTCATAGATTAATGAAATTATTAGAGAAAGATGATTCGTTGTTCCATTTTCGACTCTTAATCCTTTCTGAATTGAGTTCCCCCCCCCCCCCCCTTCCGCGCGAACCGCGGAAGCTTTGACGTTTCATTAAATTATTAGAGAAAGATGACGATTCTTTGTACCGTCCTCGACTCTTTATCCTTGTCTGAATTGAGTCCCCCCCCCCCCCCTCCCGCGCGAAGCGCGGAAGCTTTGACGTTTCATTAAATTATTAGAGAAAGAAGACGATTCGTAACTCTTAATCCTTGTCTGAATTAAGTTTCCCCCCCCCCTCCCGCGCGAAGCGCGGAAGCTTTGTCGTTTCATTAAATTATAAGGGGAAAGGAGACGATTCTTTGTACCATTCTCAACTCTTAATCCTTGTCTGAATTCAGTTTTTCCCCGCCCGCGCGTAGCGCTTAAGCTTTGACGGTTTATTAAATTATAAGAGGAAGAAGACGAATCGTTGTACCATTCTCGTCTCTTAATTCTTGTTTGAATTCAGTTTTCCTCCTCCCGCGCGAAGCGCGGAAGCTTTGACGTTTCATTAATTATTAGAGAAAGAAGAAGATGTGTTGTACCATTCTCGACTCTTATTACTTGACTGAATTCAGCCCCCCCGCCTCCCGCGCGAAGCACGGAAACTTTGGCCCTTCATAGATTAATGAAATTATTAGAGAAAGATGATTCGTTGTTCCATTTTCGACTCTTAATCCTTCTCTGAATTGAGTTCCCCCCTTCCGCGCGAACCGCGGAAGCTTTGACGTTTCATTAAATTATTAGAGAAAGATGACGAAGATGACGATTCTTTGTACCGTCCTCGACTCTTTATCCTTGTCTGAATTGAGTGCCCCCCCCCCCTCCCGCGCGAAGCGCGGAAGCTTTGACGTTTCATTAAATTATTAGAGAAAGAAGACGATTCGTAACTCTTAATCCTTGTCTGAATGGAGTCCCCCCCCCCCCTCCCGCGCGAAGCACGGAAGCTTTGTCGTTTCATTAAATTATAAGGGGAAAAGAGACGATTCTTTGTACCATTCTCGACTCTTAATCCTTGTCTGAATTCAGTTTTTCCCCGCCCGTGCGTAGCGCGTAAGCTTTGACGGTTCATTACATTATTAGAGGAAGAAGACTAATCGTTGTACCATTCTCGTCTCTTAATCCTTGTTTGAATTCAGTTTTCCCCCTCCCGCGCGACGCGCGGAAGCTTTGACGTTTCATTGAATTATTAGAGAAAGAAGATGATTCGTTGTTCCATTTTCGACTCTAAATCCTTGGCTGAATTCAGTTTTTCCCCGCCCGCGCGTAGCGCGTAAACTTCTGACGTTTCATTAAATTATTAGACAAAGAAGACGATTCTTTTTACCATTCCTTGTCTGATTTCAGTTGCCCCCCTCCCGAGCGAAGCGCGGAAGCTTTGACATTACATTAAATTATTAGAGAAAGAAGACGATTTTTTCTTTGTCTGCTCCTCTTTAGTCCTATGTCCTCTTCCTGCCCCTACCGCCCCTGGCTACGCGCCTACTTTAAAGGGAAAATGAAACAATCATGATTGTGATAGCACACAATTAGGTTAGTAGAAATGAAAGGGAGAAAAGATCTATTACACTAACCATGGATAAATCACGGCCGGGAGCGTCATATCATAGTTTTGTGTTATCGGGTGAGGGCCGGGGCGTAGCAACCAAGCAAGATTTTGCAATGTTGAAATTATGCATTCTAGAAAATTCCGCTATATTTCTTTCTAGCTATATTTCTAAATTTCCTGGGGGACGTGTCTCCCTATCGGGCCCAGGATTGCCGCCCCTGTCCATGATTACTACCAACATGAGTTCAAATACAAACACGAGCGAGTTGGTATGAGCTGAATCCAAATGAAGGGCAAAATAAGAGTAATGAAGCGGCCCAACCGTTAATTTAAAATTTGACTGTTGAGTATATAGCTTCTATTTAAAAGACATCCAAAATATTGTGCCCTTTTCAAATTTCTCACTAAAGAGTGATGACCTTTGCAGCGCAAGGGGGCTGTTTTTTACGTTTAACTTTGAATCCGCGGCTCGAGATTTTATGCGGCCGGCCCGGCCCCCTCTATTCAATAACGTTTGCCAAACCTTCTGGAATGACCCCAAATCTCCCGATTACAGTTCTCCCTTATTCGTCGTTACTGTCACTTAGCGCCATTTCCTTGTCTTTCCCCCTTTCTCACCGAATCCCCCCCCCCACCCACTTACTATAGGGTACGCACATGTATGTTCCCTCTTTTTGAAAGCACCCCTCTATCTGCGATGTAAGTCAGTACGGGCCGGAATTTTGTGTATTATGGGCCGGACTTTGTTGCGTGAAAAGTAACTCTTTATCGGAAATTTTGGGAACACATATTCGGTCCCTCCGACCCCGGAGTGGGAGGGAGGGGGAGGGGGGGGGGGGGGGGAGTTGGGCTTTCTTCTTTATCTTTTCTTTTCTCTTTTCTTCCTTTTTCTTTTCCCTTCTCCTTTCTTTTCTCTTCTCCTTTTTTTCTTCTCCTCTTCTCCTTTTTTTTTCTCTTCTTTTCTTCCTCTTTTTTTCTTCCTTTTTTTTGCGCCGCCAATAGGGGGGGCCGCGGCCGTTTCGGCACCCCCTGGATCCGCCACTGCTGGGGTATCGAGATATATTAAGGTAAAACAGGGAAATAGTATGCATAGAGTCTAAATCTGGGTTGGTCGATCAATGCAAACACACACAGACGGACTCAAAAAAGGGTACACTTGCCTTCTCCATCATCCTACGCCCTTGATAAAAACCCACGAAAGTGAATTAAACAGAAGAGAAAGAGAAATACATTCTTGATACGAATTCCTTTCTGTGTCCTGAAATCATATCCTCAACAAATTTGGCTGAAATTCAAGTTTATGATTTACAACAAGGAGAGGTCAACAGTTAGTTCTCGTCAAACTCAAATTCATCGGTGCATAATCAGTGATCTGAATTCGAAATTGAGATCGAAGTGATTTCAAAAGCATTTTAATGGTTCATTTAGAAGCGTATCCAGGATTCTGTAATGGAGGAGGGACATAATTACCCACGATCCCTGACAAGCAAGAAAGCTAGCAAACAAGCAGAAAAAATATCAGATTTAGAAATATCATGGGTGATCTCAAAATTTGAAGGGGCACAACAATAACATAGTCGGGTGTCCGTAAGGAAAATCTACGCCAGAATATGGTTTAAAAATACAATTTTGAAATCTAATTTTAAAACAATATTCTGCCGTAGGCTTTACTGCAGATGCAGAATATAAGAGCTTGCCTGACATCAACAAACAATGTATGCAAAGCGAATTCCATCCATAGGCCTAGATATGTTCATGGCATTCATTTATTTCACAAGTGATAATAGCCAAAATGATAAGTTCTCAACAGCAGTGCTATATTCCTTGGTAATTCGGGAATCATCGCACAATACCAATTTTTGAAAATGCTGACAATTTCATTACATCAGACGATTAGGTTTATAGGCACAGCTGTAAGATTTTTGTATTCAATTCATTCTAAGAAAGAAAGAAAGAAAGTAGAAGTCTTTCAAGTTATACTAATTGTTTTGATATCGAGTATCAAGGGGAATAAATTCCTTTTTAACTCGTCCAAAAGCACGTTTCTAAAGACCAATTCAATTTCTGTGCTACAATGTTTGTGGGCGTGTTTTTCAGCTGAATTTGTTGTTTTGTTGTGGTATATCAGACAGAACGACACGCCCACCTTCCACAGACTACACGTGAACGTAAATTCACGCCCCTCTTTCTCTCTCTCTCTCTCTCTCTCTCTCTCTCTCTCTCTCTCTCTCTCTCTCGTACCTCTTTCTCTTTGCTTCTTTGATTCTTAATCTTATCTCTCCTCCTCGTCCCCTGTAATCCATTTCTTCTTTTCATTCACAAGGCCCGGATCAACAAACTTTCACGCTTTATGTGTTTTTATACAGAGGGCAACAAACTTTTCTCTTTTCAAAATACGAAAAAACCGAGGGGTGTACATCCTAAGTATTACATGCGTTTTTTTAATTAGTTAGAATATAATTAATATAATGAAGACATAACTTTAAAAGAGTAGAGTTTCTGCTACTAGTACAATATTGTTTCAATCAATATGATTTAAAAACGTTAAAATTGACTTATAATAAAAAATTAATGTAATAACAATCTAAGAAAAACTAGATTTCGTTAGTTTTGCGACCCCGGTATTTTTCGAACTTTTCCATTTTCGACCGGTGAGTTCAACGATCAGAGGAAAATATTGATCGGTGTTTGATGCTGTACTTGTGTGTGTGTGTGTGTGTGTGTGTAAAACGTGCATGCCGTTTGAGCGTGCAATTTCAACACATAAACTGCAGTGTGTATCTGAGCGCCAGTCGCCGAAAAGTGAACATTTTAGAACCTTGAAATGACAGCTTCCGTGAGCTTATTGGTGAGAGAAAATTACTTTTATACATCTCTAATTATTAAGTAATAAATTAAAATGGTCTTAGTGTACGATATATAAATAAGGAACAAGCAACGTGTGAAATAATTGAATATTCGTCGTATCGAGCGCTCGTCGGTTGAGAGGTTGTGTAGAGAGTGATGTAGGCCTAGTCCCACACTGTTGCTGACAGCGTTGGTAAAACTGAAAGAGAGAAAGGAACAGTAGACCTGACTACTAGTAGATCTACTAGATCTAGATCTAGGCGCTAGGCCTAAGTATAGATGAGGTCACGTTAAGAAGAAGGGGAAGAAGAAGAAGAAGAAGAGGAGGAGGAGGAGGAGGAAGAAGACTATGAGTGACGAAGGAGGAGGAGGATCGAGGAGGAGGAGGGGAGAGAGAGAGAGAGAGAGAGAGAGGGGGGATTTATAATGACTGAATAAAGTAGTCAACTGACTTACTGACTAGAGTAAAGGAGGGGGTAATCGACCAGCTCCAGTTTTCGGCCGATTGGTTGGATGCATGGTAAAATCCCTTTAAAATACATCGCATAATAGCATAGCCATAACACATATCCCCCACACATACCATACCATGCCAGTGTCACTGAAGAACCACATTTGCAATGAAAAATATATCCTAAAATATCACATTTTAGCGATGTAATCAGCAGTCCCGCTACCCGAATCTGAAAAATCGAGTATCTTACGCGTGTTTGTAAGAAATATGGGTACCATAAAATGAGCTTTATTTCAAGTATTTTTCAGATTAAGAGCCCGATTTTGTGCCAGTCGCAAGCTCAAAAGTATCTCATCGCATGTATTAAATCAATGCAGCCGCACACCACAACGCACACACGATATCTCTGTCTAATTCAGATTCCAATTTCCGATCACCGCAGTACTAGTTTTCGGCCTGGCGAGCTCCGGGGAGCTCCGGCGTGGGATACCTGCTCCACCCGCTAGTGCTATAGATCAGCGCGGAAACGCACGGCGCGCATGCGCGCTTCCTATTGACTTTGTACATGCGGCCGAAAACTGGTTCGCTATGCCGATAACTGACTCCGAAACAGTGAAAATTGAAACGAATATTGTCATGGCAGTTCATGATTTTTTTCTGGGATTCTTTTTTTGTTTAAATAATAATAATATTTGCTTCATGATTTGAACAAGAAATGATAATAAATAGGAAGTAAAGGGTAAAAAAATAGGATTTTGTCTTAAGTGGCCGAAAAACCCCTCCTTTACTCTACTGTGGTTGTGAAATGTTTTGAATTTTCCTCATACTGAGCAGCACGAAATACACAGGACCAGTCGATGAGTTATCTCTGGATAATTAAAGCTCAATGGCACGCTCGAAAAAAGAGAAGAAGAAGTGCTCTTGAATTGAATCACAAAAGAAGCTCTGGTAAAGAATACAATTAAATAAGAGAGCTTATTGTAGGATATTGATACATGGAAATATTCTTACTGGTAAATCCCTGGTAAGCATCCTTTTTGATGGTCTCCTAGTGGAGTGCATGAATATTTGATTACAAGAAAAATAAAACATTGTCAAACTGCCATATTTTCCTTTTGACACTACGGTACTCTCGAGGCAAGAATCCTTATTTTCCACCATTTTCGGTCTAATTGCAAACTTTACAGAAATGAAAAGACATATTTAGCTTATTTCAGTACATTTTTTTGTGGGCAAGCAGCCACAGGCTGATGTAACATATAACAAAACTCAGTAAACCAAAGATATGGATGGATAGGCACTTTCAATCTGAGATTCTGAGCTTGATGCTCTTTCTGGGCAGTTTATTGTATTGGAATGAATAGGAGCATTGCTGACATTCTAGTGGTCGACCCTTAATTGGCTTGTATGAATATGAAGCACTTTTCCTGTGACATGTCATTCAATAGACTTATCATTGTGGTTATATTTTGGAAAAAAATAGCAGGTCTCGCTACATTACTAGTAGTCCAACAAAAAAGGTTTGAACAGTTCCATCTGTCATTAATAAATTCCAATACCTGGCATAGTTCAGAAAATGTACAATTACATGTAGATCTTTTGTTTTGTTTGTTTGTATTTTAGATGTTTTGATTGTATTTTCTCACATTACAAGGTGCTAAAGAACTAAAGAGATTACCATAGTAGTCATGTTGAAATTGGAATTATGATTTTGTTATGGCTGCGTTCATAATTTTTTTGGAAAAGATGATTAAACGAAATGAAAAAGGTTTTAACAGAGTTCCAACTGTCATTAATAAATTCCAATACCTGGCATAGTTCAGAGAATGTACAATTACATGTACATGTAGATCTTTTGTTTTGTTTGTTTGTATTTTAGATGTTTTGATTGTATTTTTTCATATTACAAGGTCAGGGCGCGACAAACCCGCTTGCCCGACGTCCCGGGGCAACCAAATTGAGCCGTCGGGCAAGTAAATCAAATTATCACTTGCCCGATTCGGGCAAGTGATACTTTTACAGTAATTTCCTAGTGTCCAAGAACTCTACCATTCACCCGTCAACTTCTTACCCGTCGTCAAAATCCAGAAGCAAAAAAGCGATCGTTCCGATTTCGAAAAAACTTCACAGACAGCTAGCCAGCTCAGCTAGCTCAGCGCGCATGCAACAGTGACACTTCAAGCCATGAATGCCGCTCCGCCTCCACGCACGGCCGGCCGTGAGCTAGCTAGAGACAGCTAGCGCGATCGTACCAGCTGCGAGCTTATTCGCGCTCTCTCTCTCTAGCTCTGCAGGCCGCACCGACAGGCCTTTGCTATTCTCTGATTGCCGATTGGTTGAATCACGCCAAATATGTCGTCATTATTCTAGGGAAATGAACACGTGCGAATCGGAATGGAATAAACAACAGGGATTTTCTAGTAATTACAAAAAGTCAAATGTTTGATATTTATTCATAATGACTGTTAATGATTGTGAACATATTATTTAAAACTCGCTGCTCATATAAATCAGATGAATGTTTTTGTCTCGTTTTCAATTTATTACTGCGGTCTCAAGATCCGACCGAGCGAGTCATTTTGATAATAGTATCGAGACCCCCAGAATATAAGCCGTTGTTGTTTTGTTTTCATGGTTTTAGCGACGTTGTTTAGTCTAGTTTTCGCATACTTATCCGAGATTTATCGTAAAATATCTTCAATATTATTATTTAGTAAGAATTTACAAATTTTGGCATGATATTTATAGCAGTGAATGATGAAATAAAAATGTCCGTACTTTATTTAAAATAGTTGATTACCCATTATTTACATGACGTTTCTTGATGGAAGAGTTGACCCAAATTACACTGTACATGTATGTGCATTAATTTGCTATCTAAAACACTAACTTATCATTACGAGATAATAAATGCTTTAACCTCGAGTCCTTTTTCGCTTTAAAGTTTTGGGCAAGTGGAAATATTGTTTGGGCAAGTAAATTGAAAACCCACTTGCCCGACAGGGCAAGTGGTGAAAAAAATTCTTGTAGCACCCTGAAGGTGCTAAAGAAATAAAGAGATTACGATAGTAGTCATGCTGAAATTGGAAGTACATGTATGATATTCTTATGGCTGCATTCATAATTTGTTGGCAAAAGATGATTAAAGGAAATGAAATAAAAGAATCCTGATTAATGCCCTCAAAAGGCCTCAATGTGCTCATTAACTAGTCAAGTATTTGTAATCTAATACAGAACTTGTAACTCTTGTATGGGTAGTTTTTAAAAATCCGTTCTCCTCTACCCTGTTACGCTATACATGTACATACAGGTTTATGTGTACTATCTTTGTGAAATATTGGAAGCCATTTAACCTAATTTTCATTGTATTAGAATATAGTTATCTTAGTTTGTACAAGAGATCTGCAATTGTTTTATTTTTTAATTTGTTTTGTGAGCTCATATTTGTTAGGCTTGGGGCTTTAAACCTTCATAAATATGCTTACAAAGGTAGACAACAAAGAAAGAAAATGTATATAGAAAACAAGCAGTCTGTATATCAAGTGAATAGTTTTTGAATGTGAACACTTGCTGTGAACTCCGTAATATGCATGCCTACAATGTAGTTTATTGACGAACTATGCATGGAGACTAGTTTTACGGATGTTCACCGGAGTGGATTTGTATTGATTTTGTTTTATATCGATTGGTCAGCTGTGGCTTGGTAGTATTTGCTTTGTTCTCGAGACAGGCAAACATGTTATTTGGTTGGCCGATGTGTTCAGTCTGCCTTTTAAATTATTGACAAGATGACCAAAGAGTTGTGTAGTACATGTATGTACACATCTAGTACGTCTATTTTATTCATGAAACATCATTGATTTGAATATCCTCTAAGACAACGGTGTCGATTTGTATCCATGGTTGGGGGGGATGATACAGTAGGTGCCAAAATATTTTCGGCAATGAATCAAAGCAACCGATGATGAATTGTATACATGTACATGTACATGTGTGATCCACCACAAGTTTTTATTTATCTGTATCAATCTCTAATGCAGCAGCTTTAATTATCAATCATCATTGTGCTTCATTTTGATGGGAGCATGACAAATCTGTGGAGCATTGATTGTTAAAGGTGACTTTGAGCTCCATTACAAGTGCGTTGACCCTCGATTGAATGGTGGCTGTGTTATTCATTCACAGCAGGGTGCCCCTAAGCACACAACTGTTCTTGTTGACTATCAATAGCTTAGATTTTCTGTGTAGTCTCAAAGGGCCTATTTAGTATTTGTTCTGGTATTAGTATTAGTAGCAAGCTTGCTACTTTTAAGTCGTTAACATATTCATGGCAAACAATTGGTGGCTTTTTCTCCACCCTTTATTGCATAACATCTCTTTTTCTCTTCAATGGTGTAAGTTTCACTACTTTGGGTGTTGAATTGTGTACTTTTGGGTGGCAGCAGTATGACATAATGTAATCATTAGGCTCAACAGGGTGTATTCTTAGAAGTTAGAGCAGATTAAAAAGTGATTTTTTATTAAAAGCTGTATGAAAAGAAACATACCAGTACTCCTAAAGACCCACTTCAAATACACAATAATGAATGAAATGTAGGTCTAGAAGTTCATGTACATGTACATGCCTAGTTTACCTACATTACATGTACATGTATATATGCTAACATTCATAGGCTATACAGTATCACACAAAGTAAGGAAGATCTACAGTATGTTTTTGTTTATCTGGTATAATTTTCAAAGTTTTAAAATGTGATATTCTTTCTTCAATAGGAATTTCAACGCACTTGGTATTTCCAGCTGAGAGCCTGAGACTGCTCGAGTTCATGCCAGTTTGCTGTTAAAAGGTATGTTTTCTTCCATCGTATATTTTGTCAAGTAAAATTAAAGTGCAGTAGATTAAAATGTCATATAATGATAAAAATAAACATATTATAGGGCTCTGGGAAGGGAATCACATACTGTAGGATGTATATTTCACATGTACATGTAACTGTTCGTTGGACACATTCAGTGACAGAAAGTTCTTGATAACTGTCAAACAGATACACAGGTCCATTGCTGAACCCCCACTCCACCTCTCCCTTCAATTTTACTCTGAATCCCCAAATATCAGAATGAAAACCAGGGTCTGCCTTGCCACAAAGAACCCTGATATTTCAATCCAGATCCGCATGAATATAAAATGAAAAGTGGGATGGAGCAGTTACATGTGGGTCGAACCGGTCGATAGATGGGAGTGATCTCTTCCTAAATAGTTAACATAACACTCCCTAATTTACAAATCCTCCTGATTCACACGTCCTTACAACATGTAGTCTGTATTAGGTCTTGGATTTGTTTTTTCTTTTTCAGTCCTCCTTTTGAAATGCACTATTGCAATAAGAAACTAAAAGAAAAGACTTGACAGTGGTCTAACAAAGCAAAGCATAAGTAATTGCCTGGAATTTGGCATGCCCCTCTGCATGGTGCTTGTAGATGCTTGGACTCCTACTATTACTTTTGTGTTCCTTCGCTCCATGGTTACACATACCATTCAAACAGTCAACACCATTCCATGATATGAGTAAAGTGTAGATAGATGTGACATGGCTGAGATTGAATGGGGGGGGGGGGGTGGGCTGCTGCATTCAGGCTACCCCAACCTTCACCTTGATACTTGTCAGCTTCTGTAGAGAAAGCTTGGATTGAAATCAAGCAAGCACAGATGCACCCTTGATGTGTATTAATGATCCTATGACACATGCTCTGCCGATCATTTAACCGGAGTCAGGTGACCCCTGGGCCAAGCACTGTATCTACATTTATAATAATATAATAATAGCCTAATAGTCCACTCCAAATTTTATTAAACCGAAACGGAAATTCTTTTTGCCCAATTGATCGTGAGCCCGGCAGCCACTGAGCAGCGCCAGATCGACGTTGCTCTATCCCTTATTGTTGAACGCCAAACAAGGTAGCAACAACTCCCATCTTTTAACGTCTTTTGGTATGACGCGGCCGGGGTTCGAACCCACGACCTCCCGGTTGTGTGGCGGACGCTCTACTGACTGAGCCAACACTCCGGTACAATTTTGTACCCCAACACTAATCCTAACCTATCGGTACATGGACATTGTACATGTAGACCAAAATCGCAGCCCAAACCCTGTGCACAACTGCACATTTCTTTGATGAAATGTTGCCATACATGTAGCAAATCTCAGTTCACCTCAAGACTGTAAGAAGTAAAACAAGGAGCAAATTTACTACCGGTATTCATCTATTGCATTTTTTTTTTTTTCCTTCCAAAAAAAATAAATCACTTATTAATATGCGTCTACAGGTATCGGTATTAAACTTCAAGCAAAGCCCTGTGAAAACAATTCAATATGGAGCCTAGACTAAAGTAGGTGAACATGAACGTGAACATTGAAACGGCATGTCTTGTCAGACTATACCATTGAATAACAACTGAAGATTATTATTGCGATATGACACAGGCAGATGATGCGTGCATGCCGAGTTTCAAATTTCCCACCAGGGGATTGCTATCGGGTTACCTATCTTGGTATATATAACTCTGCGATCACGTGCGATTGAATGTTTGTGTGGAGGTAAGACAGGTGCACAGACAAAGGGGCACACACAACAAGAGATGACAAATGCTTTGTCTATGTAGGAGGTGAAAAGGGGATGGTATTGTTATGAGAATACATTCATAAATTCACACATGTGACATGTCTGAAAGAAAAACTCCTGCAACCCCCAGCCAAGTTGAAAGAGACAAAGGCCGAGCATGTAGTCATAGATCATAGACGAGCATGATCATGAGAGATACATTGTGTTATACTCGTGTATCTTGTATTTTGATGCCCTTTAGGCCTTTTGTAATGTTCACCATTAGATTTAAAATGTATTTTAAGCCATACAGTGTACATGTACAGTACATCGTAGGCCCATGCCTCAACAATGCACTCTAAGTAGGGGAAAAGGATATATAATTGTACATATTATGCTATCAAGAAAAGTGGTATTCTAAAAAAAATATTGGGGGGGGGGGGGGTTGCATTCATTATCTACATACAGTACATGTGCCTCACAGAAATTTGCGGAGGTCTTGACTCTTGGAGAATTTTTTTTTGGAAGCAGCTAAACCTGTGCTACTGATTACATGTGTGTGTCACTAATATACAATTAATTTTACCTAACATGGAGCTTTGTGTACTCCTCCTAAACCCATTCTCATCCATAATGAGCACCATTGTGCTAAGGATCTTTTCTTTGAAACCAAATTTTCCATTATCAGGAAGCTTGCGCAATTAATTAATATAAAAATGAGTGTTCAGATCTGCGGAAGGTTACAATGCACATGATGTACTACTGAATCACTCTTTCAAGTGACTAATTGTGTGTTGTATGTTCAGTGTTTTGCGCACAGGCCTTGTCCTCTCTAGGCCTGCATGTAAGCCCTTGTACGTGTGTAGCCAACATACAGTACAGGTACATACTCTTTACTGGCCTACATGTACATTACCTATCAGGACCAAAATACTAAATTGTATAAATATGTGGCTATAAATCTGTATTATTAAGATGACAGTATTTGTACAATCTCTTGGGAATGTTATAAAGCTGCGACGTGTAGTCGAATGCTCGAGTACCCGCACGGTTGACAACTACTCGGGTACGATTTCTCGTACCCGAATATTCGGCCGCAAAAAAAAAAAAAAAAAAAGTCCAGGCCCACGCTTATCCGTGCCAGGGAGAGCGTCGGCCCCTGGCATGGTACCGTCGGTAAAAATGTTTCCCAACTCGAGCACTGTCAAACTCACCACTCAGAAACTGGGACCAAATGTCCAGATTTTTGTTTGGACTCAGAGGACAATGGATTATTCTGCCATCTTTGGTTTTTAAAACAGCATTGTTTACTGTTATTATTATTATTAAATCGGCGCCTTCAACTGCAACTCTAAGTAAAATTGCATGTGTTTTCGGCGAGGGACCTGGGAAACTGCCGAGTGGTATGGTGGTGGCAAAAAAAGAAAAAAAGAAAAAAATTCAACAAAATTCAAAAAAATTCAAAAAATTCGAACAAAATTATAAAAAAACATGGCGTCCGAATATTTTAGTATTCGCTTGTGAGCCTGGGAGTGTATTCGGGTACCTCATTGCACTGTTGTGCACAGCCTTAGAATGTTATGTTCAAAGAGTAGGCCCTGTTTCATAAAACATGTAATCAAAAACATATTATTACATTTCTATGACGAATTTAGCTCTCAGCTAATCAAATGCCACAGTTTCAACATTTCTATATATGATTTTGTTTGTCATGCCTCTCTTCACTAGACAATGATTCTTTGTGAGTCCCTTAAATTTAAAAAAAATAAATTTCCTTAAGTCTGAACATGCTATCTATCTATCTATAATCTTTTGGATGTGTATACATGTACAAGAGGTTGGCAGTGTGGATACGCCCCCTAAGGAATGATGAATTATGTGTCAGAAAGCATCTTGGTGCCTCTCCATCACCTCCTCAGTGATCTGTATTTATTATGACTGGAAGAACTAGCATGACAGACGTGGTGTATCATCTCACCCGGCCCAGCTAAGATCCAGTCAAAGGCCCCTAGCTTGACTGTGGCTTGCGGACACAAAAACCTTGGTTAGTCATACATCATGTAGGTCCATGTTAAGGCTGTGCACAACAGTGTAATGAGGTACCCGAGTACACTCCCAGGCTTACAAGCGAATACTCGAGTTTTCGGACGCCATGTTTTTTTATAATTTTTTTGAATTTTTTGAATTTTTTTTAAAAAAATTAAAAAATTTTAAAATTTTTTTGATTTGATTTTTTTGTTTGTTGCCACCACCATACCACAGGGGCAGTATCTCACGTCGCCGAAAACGCATGCAATTTTACTTAGAGTTGCAGTTGAAGGCGCCGATTTAATAATAATAATAACAGTAAACAATGCTGTTTTAAAAACCAAAGATAGCAGAATAATCCATTTTCCTCCAAGTCCAAACAGAAATCCAGACATTTGGTCCCAGTTTCTGAGTAGTGAGTTTGACAGTGCTTGAGTTGGGAAGCATTTTTACCGACGGCACCATGCCAGCGGCCGCCGCTCACCCAGGCACGGGTAAGCGTCGGCCTGGACAGATTTTTTTTTTTTTTTTTGCGGCCGAATATTCGGGTACTAAAAATTGTACCCGAGTAGTTGTCAACCGTGCGGGTACTCGAGCATTCGACTACACGTCGCAGCCCTAGTCCATGTTCATAATATCATGTTTCACATAGTCTGAAACGTTGCTCTGTACTATTGGATCACTCTCTACCTACATGTACTGTACAGCTACATTATATCTGACACAGCCAGAAATTGATGGAATTTAGTTTAAAGGGATTGGGTATTTTGCCTCAGATTCTAAACAAAATCCTAGATTTAGCTCACGCTGCAATCATAATTATAAACCTTTAGGTCAGTCAGGAATCCCATGAATTTTACAAGCCGATCGCCTGTCTGATTGTCAAGATATTTATGATTGGAATTAAAAATGTCAGAACCGTTTGCCAAATAGTTTTGAACAACACTACAGTCCATTGGGGAAAATGAGTATGGTAAAACCGGTCACTCAAAGGTTTTTAATTTTTTGAAGTGCAGTTTTTTAAGTGCTTCAGTATTACAGACACTGATAATACGTATCTCAGATTTGTAAAACTGGAAACATTATTATACAATGCCTTCAAGTGTCAAATGTAGAGTCGATGCTTGCAGACTACCTTGACTGTCACTTGCGAAAGTAAATCCTTCAAACTAGAGTCTTGTCTAAGGAGACTAGGTTTGCGTGGAAACCTGTAACTAAC